GGGTGTTCGGGGTCCCGGGGGTCCCATGGGTGCTGTGAATATTGGGGGGTCCCGGGGGTGTTGGGGGTCCCATGGGTGCTGTGAGTGTTGGGGGGTCCAGCGGAGGAGCCCGGGGGTCTCAGCCCCCCCGGATGGGTGAGGGGGTACCCGGGTTTCCCCCCGGAGCCCCCCCAGCCCCCGCCCGGCCCGCAGGAGGGGAAGCTGATCGACCGCGTGTACAACACGTACCGGCTGATGCACACCCACCAGACCGTGGAGTTCGTCCGCAGGAAGGTGGGGACAGCCCGGGGACATCCTGAGTGCCTTGGGGACACCCTGCGTGCCCTGGGGACACCCTGCGTCCCTTGGGGACACCCTGCATGCCCTGGGGTCACCTGGGTCCCTTGGGTCACCCTGAGTGCCTTAGGGACACCCTGTGTCCCCTGGGGACACCCTGCGTGCCTTGGGGTCACCCTGTGTGCCCTGGGGACACCCTGCGTGCCTTGGGGACACCCTGTGTCCCTTGGGTCACCCTGTACCTCTTGGGGTCACCCTGCGTGCCTTGGGGACACCCTGGGTCCCTTGGGCTCACCCTGCGTCCCCTGGGGTCACCCTGCGTGCCTTGGGGTCACCCTGTCCCACCGGGGTCACCCTGCATCTCCTGGGGTCACCCTGCGTCCCCTGGGGTCACCTGGGTCCCTTGGGTCACCCTGTGTCCCCTGGGGCCACCCTGCATCCCTTGGGGACACCCTGTGAGTCTCGGGGTCACCCTGCGTGCTTTTGAGTCACCCTGCGTGCGTTGGGGACACCCTGTGTCCCTTGGGGTCACCGTGTGCCCTGGGGTTACCCTGTACCTCTCGGGGTCACCCTGGGTCCCTTGGGGTCACCCTGCGTCCCCTGGGGTCACCTGGGTCCCTTGGGGTCACCCTGTCCTCCCCGAAGTCACCGTGTGCCCTGGGGTCACCCTGTACCTCTCGGGGTCACCCTGGGTCCCTTGGGGTCAAAGTGTCCTGTGAGGTCACCCTGTACCCCCCTGCTGTCACCCTATGTCCCCTGGTGTCACCCTGTCCCCCTGGTGTCCCCACGGTGTCCCCAGAGCGCGCAGTACAGCTCCTGCTCGCTGCGGAGGATGAGCGTGATGGAGGCGCTGGAGCTGCTGGATCAGCTCGTGGACGAATCGGACCCCGACGTGGATTTCCCCAACTCCTTCCACGCCTTCCAAACGGCCGAGGGGATCCGCAAAGCGCACCCCGATAAAGGTGGGGACCCCCCCCGTGTCCCCC